TAGAAAACCCATATCGTTCTTACATGAAATACTCTTTTCGACCAGGTCAAAATTACCTAGCCTTATATCAAATTAAAATTGATCTTAAATAATGTAAAATCGACCTATATTTATTTAGAAGTGGTAGTTAAGAACTTTTGTTAATAAGGGCTAAAAAGTTTACATTTTCGGGCAATAAATGTAACAAGCGGTATCTGATAGTCTGGACTCTGCCCCCATAGAGTTCTTTCATGTTTTGTTGTGGCTTTGCCAGCTATTTGTGTAGGCAGCTCCAAGTGGGTGTAGAAATGCACACACAGCTGCAGTCGCCGTTGTTGTGAAGTCGCAGTTGCAGTTGCAGTCGGCGCTGGCAGCGCTGTTTGCTTGGTGTTTTGGCCAGAGGCAAACTCATGGATCGTGAAAATCCACGGATCGTCGTCTTTTGGACGCTTCGAAGTGGGCTGCTGCTGCTTTTGCTGCTGCTGCATTGCATGGCTGAATGCTAAAATGCATACCAAATGCAGTTCGAGTTTTTCCACAGTGTTGCCAAATCGGTTTGGTTTTATTTTCGTCTTCTTCAATGGAAGCAAGTAAGGCGGTGAAATATGTCAACGCCTTAGCACCGCCACCCCACCCAGGTTGCTCCACCAGCAATACGTAAATATTTATAGAAAGGGCCGGGCCAGGCTGGATATCTAACCATAGATAGACAGATATACACATATGTGAATAGATCGCCGAGCTGACGACCATATTTCACAATATTTGTGCAAGTTAAACACGGCGAGAAAATGTCAAACACGTTTCTAGCATAGTCAACAAGTCAATAAGAATTGCAGTCGACAAGCCGGACAAGGAAATATGCGATTACCAAATGCTCTCTTATTAAAACATATATAATATTATATCAGATCTCGAGAGAAACTTGACAAAATGTATAAGATCAGAACTAATCTTCAAACATCTCTATGAGAAAATAGATTTCCAATTGGTAAATACCAAAACCAATTGGCAATTTAATTTACTACCTATAACATAAGTCACACATAACTTTTAGAAAATAACTACGAGACTGCATTCCACAGAACTGACAGTGAGTCATTTGAGAAAAGCTTAAAAATAAACAAGATAATATTTGCCAACGGAAATTGAACTTAAACAGGAAAGGCCCGTCACTCACTTAGCACTGGGGTTCAAAATTGTTTAGGAAAACATGTAGCCAATTTTCTAATTTAAAAAGTGCATTCTCAGCTTAGAAAATCATTCTAAAGATCATAAATAATTCTAAAGAAGCACCTGAGCTTCTCATAATTGATCACACTCCGATACATACTAATGGATAATGTTGTTATGCAACCAAAGCCCCGAGGTTTGGTACATTGCAATGAGCTGCGATGACGGCCAGGCAGCTCCATCAATCACGTGTGTGAGCTAAAGTCACTAATGGATGCGATCTCGACTCACCTGACGCTTGAAGCGCTTGCTGGCACTGCGCCGGAGGGTGTTGCAGTTGCCGTTGGTAATGGAATGATCGATCTCCTCCACGGTGGCCGTGCTGGGTGCCATGCATCGCTTGCTCAGCTCCACCAACTCGGCGACTGGTTGGACCTGGATGGGTGACAAGGAATGCAAGGATTAGAATTGGGTTAAAAAAAGGGTATAAACTCTTAATAAACTACACTCATAAAAATTAATTTCTAAATTTTAGAAATCTCGCCATTAAATCGGCCTGCTTTGAAAATAGAAAAAAATTCTTGTTTTTAGAAAATTTGCCTTTGAATATAGAAAACCTTTTTAGATGAAGGTTTTCTAGATTTTAAGGAAATTCTTCGATTTGTTTTTATGAGTGTACTAGGAAATTCCAAAACAACTCTTGCAAAAACCGTGTATAGTTATTTACCTATATAATCCATTAAATAAAGACAACATAGAAAATTAAAGTTCTTATCATATCTTTGCTTATCAAAATTTTGGTGTGTTATTTTCAAAGGAATTAACGAATTCCCAGAAGTACCCACCTCCACGGTGACAGCCTCGCCGCTGTTCCGTATCATCTCGATGATGATCTCGCGCGACAATTCGCCCACTGGCGTTCCGTTGACCTTGATGAGGCGATCGCCGGGCAGAAGACCCGTGGCTCCGCCGCCAGCACCTGGCTCGGCGAATATGACGGGCCTGAAAGTGGGCGAAGTCAGCGACTCTGTTCGATCCAAGCAGATGGCCTTGCGCAGGCTGAAGCCAAAGTCCTGGCGCGGCGACTTCTGACGCCGGATCACCAGCTGCCGGGGCGGCGGAAGCTTCACCAGCTGCACCGGCGGCAGCGGCAGCTCCACATCCTCGAAGGCATGAACGCGGGCCCAGCGATCGATGCCCTGCGACTCGCCGACGGGACTCAGCGAGAAGGGGGGCGTGGCGAACGAGGAGTTTGTGGTATCTGTGAGACTGTCGGCGCTGGGCGACGGCGAGGTGAGCACATGGAGGTGCGATCCCTGGCTGTTGCCCTGTGGCAGCGCTCCATAGCGGGCATTCGCTGGCAGGGTCATGGCCCGCTGCTGACCTCCAGTCTGCTCGCCATCGCTGCGCAGGCTCTCGACGGAGGTGAAGGAGGTGCCGTGCTGGCTGGAATTGGAGCCAATCGAACCGGCTCCTCGGCCGGCGGCTCCCTCGTAGAGCAGCTCGTTCTGGAAGGTGTTGCGGAGAAGCATCTCCGGTGTGCCACCTCCTCCGGTGCCGCCAGCAAAGCTGATCTCCTCGTGCACATTGGTCATGTTGCTGCGGGAGCCCTTCAGAATGCCACGTTTTGGCGGCTTGGGTGGTATGGGCGGCAGAAAGCGATTCTGGGAAAGGGAAGAACATTTATTAAATATGATTTCTGGCCAGGATTGGGTTGACGAACTCACCTTGAGCCCGCCGGCGAGCAGGGAATGTGTGACCTCGCTGTAGTTGACACTCACGCCGGCGCCGTTGGACGCCCGGCTCTCGATGTGCGTCATCACAGATGCTACAATCTCCTCATTGCCACGATCCTGTTCGGGATCTGCAGCTCCGGCTGCTCCTCCCCCGTTGCTGCCGCCATTTGCATCCGCATTTAGGGCGGCAAAGAAATCCGCACTGTAGTCGGCCGTTATGCCGCTGGGCAGCTTCTCTTTCTCCTTGCGCCGCCCGCGGATTTTGAGCGACCGACGCACCTCGTCCAGGCGGAGCAGCTCGTCGGTGCTCATGCTCCCGGTGACGCCAGTGACGCCTCCGATTCCCGTGCCCCCCGCGGTGCCCTTAGCCTCTTTGCGCAGCTTCTTCTCGCGCTTGCGGCGCTCCTTCTCCTCGTCGCCGGTGCTCTTCTTCATGAAGTTGAACATCTTGTGTGGTGAGTGGTGTGGGGTCCTTAGGTGCTAACTGCGGAGAGGGGGCGTCAGTGGGTTAATGCAAAGTTCAAGGGCGTGACCAAAAGTCTGGACTAATTTGATTTGCACAGCTCTCTCTACTGTTCTCTAGCCAGGGGCGGAACGGGAAATTTGCGGGGGTTTAATTTTGGTAAATAATAATAAAATAAATAACAAATTTGGTTGATAAAAATTAACAATAAAAAATCTAATATAAAACAAAACTTTTTTTTTTCTGTTGATCCTACAATTCTTATTAATCCCCCCTGGATCCGCCCCTGTCCTTCGATTCTGCTCTCTGCCTATTCCCCTCTCGCTCTTACACACGCTCAGCCCTACCGAGCAATGCACCCGCCCGCACAACAACAGTTATCTTGCAGCCGTGTATGTGTAAATGTAGAAATGTGCACATTTGCCAATCACATAAACAATGGCATATTTTCTTCACTTCTGCAGCCACATATCTACATTTCTTGTGCTGCGGTGGCGGCTTTGCTTTTGTCATTGAGTCGTTGCCATTTGCCCTGTTTCTGTTATTATTTATTATTCAATTATGCGCTTTCTTTTCCACAGCCAGCACACATTTGTTTTGTTTTCACAGGCACAGGCATAGGCCCACTCACACACACACACACAGGCAGAAAAGGGGGGCTCGTGACTGCGTTGGTATTGATCGCCCCAGACTGCACTCATCTCCTACAATTTTCCATTTCTCCTCCTAATTGAATGCACTCGATGCTGCCTCATTACTTATGCTTTTGCCAGTCCAATTGCTCTTATTCGGCAAACGCTCTTGCTCGGCCACAGCCCACAGTGATACACACGAAAGGCAGAAAAAGAAAGTTGAGTCAATAACACCTTTGTTTTTGCACTTTTCTACGCCTTTTTTGATAACACACACACACTGGCAGGGCAGGCGGGCACTCACTCACACACACACACCCGCACCCGCTGGAGTTCCAATTTGTTTATTCTGGAGTGGCAGGCGACATTATCCCACCGATCGGATTGCATTCCAATTACCTTGTTATTTGCCACTCGGGCACTTTTATCGCTGCACTTTTTCTTTTTCGACTCAAAAAGAAGACTTCGCGTTCTGCATAAACAAATCTGAGCACTAGAGGTGGGTGTTGGGCCACGATAGTGGCGATACCCTATCGATAGTGAACTGAATTCTATACTTATTTATACTTGCTATCGGTTGCTGTACTTGCTAAGTGCCTCTGCACAATGGGCACAAAACCTTTTATTCTGGGAAAAGCAATGAAAAATTTCGAGTTTAATTTGAATCTTACTTAAACATAAATCATTAAAACAACGAAAAATGCATAACAATCATAACACAGATTTTTTATGTGTATTTCAAAATATCATTTATAATTAAGTTATAATCGTAAAAAAATTTAATAAAAATTTAACAAAAACTCTTCCTCCGTAGAACTAAATATAAGTTAAAGAGACGTTTGCTTTAAATGCTAAAGCTCTAAAATGCCTTTTCAGTTAACTAAATAAAATAAGATGCCAATCTAAATAAATATTAAATTAAAACTAATTACACCCATAAAATCTGGCCCAAAAATGACTTCGATAGAAATATTTATTTTTAAAAACTATCGATATATTAATTCTTCTTCTTCCCAGTCCAGGCGTGTTGTGTAAACGCTGGCCCTCTTTTCTGAATCCCAAATTCCGGCGCATTCTCCCCGGGATTGTACCTATCTGGACTAACGACTGCACCTAGGACATGCTGAACCTCCTGCGACGGCGTCCTGCCTGCGTGCCCCTCATCCGGGCGGCGTTCAGCGCTCCACTGCACACAACCGACAACCGGCCGGGTTACATAGTGCTGTGAGTACTGAAGTCACCTGGTTTTGCAAGAGGATATATTAAAATCCAATACTTTCAGGGTTCCGGAGATTGGGGAAGAGGGTCCTTTGGGCGAGGGAGTCCTGAAGCCCGATGGACTGCCCGCTTTCAGTGACATCACCATCGAAATGTGCCTGGGGGCGATAGGGCAGCAAGCGTCGGCGGTGGAGAACTCGGTGAAGGCGCTGGAGGGCGATCTGCAGAATGGCAAGCAGCTGGACGCCGGCGGCATCTTCCGGGAGCTGGACACAGTCACTGGGCCACTGGAGACGACGTGGGGCGTGGCCAAGGCCCTGTACCTGGGCAACTCCACGCTGATTCCCACCAAATCCTACATGAACATCCACGAAAGGGCGCGAAATGCTCGAGCGGCCAAGTTCTGTAATCTGAAGGTGTACAAGGCCCTTGAGGCAGCCCAATCCGCTGGACCGGATGAGCAGCGGCTGCGTCAGAAGTTCCTGCTCGAGGGCAAGCTGAATGGACTGACGCTGGACAAGGAGAAGCAGGATGGTTTAAAGGAGCTGCTCACGCATTTGGGTCGCGAGCGCGCTAGTTTCAAGAACAAGGTCAACATGGCAGTGCACTCTTTCGGTCAAGTCATCACCGATTTCAATTTGGTGAGGGATTTCCCACCCTCGCTACTCGAAGCCACCGCTAGAGACCCCAGTCAGCCACTGGAGGGCCCCTGGAAGATCACCCTGCAGCCTCAGGTGGTCGACGGCTTCCTGAAGCACTGCCCCGAGCGACTGCAGCGCTGGAACGTCTGGCGGGCCAGCGTGCTGAAGGCCTCGTCGCAGCAGGAAAAAGCGCTGGAGAACAGCACGCACCTGGAGAAGATCCGGGGACTTGCGCAGGCGACAGGCCAATCTGCTGGGCTACAGCAACTTTGCGGACATGTCCATGCAGACCAAGATGGTGGGCAGTGTGGAGAACCTAAAGCAGATCTTTGCCAAGCTTCTAAAGTTCGCTGGCCCCGCACAAAGTGTGGAGCTGGAGCAGCTGCAGAGATTCGCCGCCGACAGTGGCTGCGACTACAAGCTGGAGGCCTACGACGTGGCCTACTGGCGGCGCAAGCAACTGGTGGCCGAGCACGGCCTGCAGGAGCAGAAGCTCAGCGAGTTCTTCCCGCTGCCACGCGTTCTTTCCGGGATGTTCGAGCTCAGCGAGAAGCTCTTCGGCATAAGGATAGTGGAGCAGCCCAAGGCGGAGGTCTGGCATCCGGCAGTCAAGTTCTATGATGTGTTCGATGCAGATTCCCCCAATAGCTCCACTCCGGTGGGCGGCTTCTATGTGGACTGCTACTCCAAGGAGCACAAGTTTGGCCGGAACAACGGTTGGATGGTGGGCATCAGGAACAGCAATAGATCCGCCGGCCTGACGCCCCTCTGCGCCCTGATCTTCAACTTCTCGGAGGGCAAGCCGCCTCTCCTTAGCTACGATGATCTGCAGATGCTGTTCAAGACCTTCGGCAGCGGACTGCAGCATCTGCTCACCCAGGCGGGCTACAGCGACCTGGCGGGACTCTCGAACATCGAGTGGGATGCCTCGCAGGTTTCGGGTCACGTGATGAGCAACTTCCTCGATGATCCCACAGTTATCCGAGGTTTTTCCGGCCATTTCAGCAGTGGTGAACCTTTCGAAGCGGAGATCTCCCAAAAGATGCGACTGCTGAAGACCCAACTGGCTGGCTATAATCTCTGCCAGGATCTCTACTTGGCCGATCTCGACATCGAGCTGCATCGCTCGCAAGCCTTTTGGCTGGAGATCGTGCGGAAGCTGTGGCCCGTCTACCACTGCCTGCCGCTGGACAAGAAGGACGCCCATCCCTGCTCGCTTACGGATATTTTTGCTGGCGATTGGGCGGCCGCCCAGTTTAGTCATTTGTACTCCCGCCTCATAGCCGCCGACATATCGAGCAGCTTCGCGGAGCAGCGTAGCGAGGAGAACTACGCGGTCGTCGGGCGGCGCTACAAGCAGACCTTCCTCAGTTCCGGCGGTTCTGTGCCCACGGCGGAGGTGTTCCGCCGCTTCCAGGGTCGCGATCCCTCCGGCGAGGCGCTCCTCAAGTCGCTGGACATTTTCGAACCCTCCCAGACCACGGATAACAATTGAGGGTCATGCTCGTTATCTCTTGTGTGCGTAGTCAACTGATAAGCCGCCTGATCGATGTGCTAGACTGGCAATCTTAGGGGGAAAGTAATCTTTGGAGTATTTGAAACAATTTTACAATAGGCTGGAAGCATAATTTGTTAATTAATTGTTAATTGGTCGCGAAATACATGTACTTATTTGAAGTATGAATGTGAAAATCACTTACTGGAAATGACTAGCAAAATTCAGGGTTCGTAAAACAACACACTGTAAAAAACTTGTGTTATTAACATGTGTAAAAAATTGTATCCTACATATGTTAGAAACATAAATAACACACACATGTCATTTGTGTTATTTACACGAAGTGTTTTTTACACAGCGTTTTTAACACAATATGTTGAACTGAAAAATGAACGGTTTTTCTAGAGTTTAAGAATTCATATAAGATAAAATATAATGGCCCATATTGGTTTTATATTTTCCCTTCGATTCGTTAATGTCCGTCAAATGTAATTTTCATTTGTGTTAAAAGCATAGTGTGTAAAAAACACGTTCTGTTAAAAACACATTGTGAAAAAAACACAAGAGAGCTGTGTGTGCTAACAATTATTTTTCACATTTTCACAGTCAACAATTTGACACCCATGTCAACCATTTTTCATGTTTTTAACATGTGTGTCAATTTCCGAACCCTGGTAAAATTTAAACTATTTACACAAGAATTCTGTACTTTCGCCCCTACGATTCACTAATGGCAGGCGGATTATGTGATAGCGATCGCGTGAGTCAGGCGGATCTTATCGCCGGTGTGCAGGTGGTGCCACCAGCCGTAGTTAAACACACACATTGTTGCTTTATTTAAATAATACTTTAATAATAAATTGCATAAATTTATAACATTTAACATATTCTCTCGCTCCCTCCTCGTCTCCCGATTAGGTTCGATATATTTATATATACACAACAAAGGCGAAATATGCATTCTGCGGAAAGGAAATCCACTAGAAATGGGAAACCGAAAGTCAGAAGAAAAGAAATAAAGTACGGATTGAAGTTGGTTAGTTTACAGGAATTAATTTATATATATGCACTAGATCGAAGTGTGTTACTACTATATGCGTATGTGCTTGTCTCAATTGTGTGTCGAGTGAAGTGGAGGCTGCTCTGCTCTGCTCTGCTGCATATTTGAAATCTTTAGAATATTCGCTAAGGCTGCTATGTGTGGTAGTGGCTGCAGTTGCTCCCTTTCTAGTAGATCTCCGGACAGCCCTCGAAGTTCTGCGCCGCCTTGGCCTCCCAGTAGGTGTTCTTGAACACGTGCACATACTCCTCGCTGCCCTCCTCCTTCTCGCGCTTGAACCACATGGGCTCGTAGGCCGGATACGGCCTGCCCTCCGCCGCCGCCTCCTCCGCCTCGGCCTCGCGCCTTCGGCGCTCTGTGCGCTGCTTGTCCTCCAGCCGCAGCTTCTCCTTGTTCGACTCATCCCAGGCGCCCTGCTCCATGAGCCGCTGGTCGGGACGCAGGCGCGAATCTGTGGGCGCCACGCCCTCCTCCTCTTCGTTCAGCTGGCAGGCTAAAGTGGTGAAGTTGTAGAACTTCTCCGACTCCGGCGGAGCGGGACGTCTCCGCCAGGCCAGCTTAAACTCGCCCGTGGTGTAGGTTGGATTACTGGGCGTTCCCGTGGTCTTCAGCACAGGTGCGATCTCGATCTTGAGATCCCAGGTGCCGCGCACCACCCACTTGACCTCGTTGTCCTTGTTCATCACCACGCCCTTCACACTCCTTTGCACTTCGCGGCTGAAGTACGAGTAGGGGATGAAGTTCAGGATGCACTTGAGTCCCCTCGGCCGCCTGCGAGCCGCGGATCTCCATCTCGCCATGCTGGTCCACCCACAGGCGGCCCACAATGATGTTGTTCACCGTGGTGGTCACCTTGCGCCAGCTGTAACGCCGCCCGCTGTCCACGAATTGCACATAGACGCCGCCTAATGGATTAATCTGGGGGATAAAATAAGTAGGTTAGTCAGGTATTCTAATAAAAACTTGGTAAAATCAACTGTAATAATTGTCAAACAGGCCGCAATCACAAAAATTGTGAAGTCTACTAAGTAAATTGTTACTCTCACATATTTCGTAAACGTAAGGGTTACTATAAAAAATAGTTACGCAACAGTAAGAAGGGCTAAAATGTGGCCGAACCATAAATTGTAGTCTACTTACTATTTTTATAGTAAATTACAAATATTTATAGATATTTCACAGTATTTTATAAGTAATATTTAAATGGTAGTTGTCCAATTACTAGACCCAGTTGGGAATTATAAATAAGGTATCGCAGAGGATTTGTCAAATTACTGTCGCCTACTTTTATACTAAAGAAGTTACGTTAGGGTAACTATTGTTCATAGTTAAACAACTATTTAAAATAGTTTCAAGGTACAAAAAGAAAATACACCCGTAAGCGTAACTCTTTTAATAGTTGTTTAACTATTTAATAGTACGCAAAGCAAAACTAATTAAACGGAGGACTATTTTTTTTGTTAAAGTACTATTTTGTATAGTTACTGAACCATCTTCATTGGTCAATTTTACCAAGCAATTTTTGTTGTGTGTAGGACTAACCGCAACCATACTGACAAAGCAAAAACAATTACTCGGATGACTATTTTAATGGTTAAAGTACTATTTTGTATAGTTACTGAACCATCTTCATAGGTCAATTTAACCAAGCAAATTTGTTTGTATGTAGGACTAGTCGAAACCATACTCAAAAAGCTAAAACAATTACACGGATGACTATTTTTATTGTTAAAGTACTATTTTTTATGTTTACTGAACTATCTTCATTGGTCAATTTAACCAAGCCAATTTTTTTGTGTAGGATTAGTTGAAGCCATACTGACAAAGCAAAAACAATTAAACGGAGGACTATTTTTATGGTTAAAGTACTATTTTGTATAGTTACTGAACCATCTTCATTGGTCAATTTTACCAAGCTAATTTTGTTGTGTGTAGAACCAAGTCAAAGCGATACTCACTTGCACGTACTTGCCGCGGAACTTGCTGGTCATGGAGAACTCCTGCCAGCAGGTCCAGTTCTTGCTCTCGCAGTGGAGCGCAGCGATGGGCGGATGGTGGGAGACCTGCTCGGCGAGGCACCGCCAGCCGTAGTCGTCCATGCGGTCGCACTCGAAGGTCTCGCCGAGCAGCGGATTGAAGGGCTTGCCGGTGCGGTTCGTGGTCGTCGCGTAGGCGGAGACGGTGAAGGCGGCCAGGTAGGCCAGCTGCTCGCACTCGTCCTGGCACGTCGACGCATAGTCGAGGATCTCCGAGTACTCGTAGTCCTCCACCAGGCGCTGCAGCATCGACAGCGGCTCGTTGAAGTTGATGGGCATGGGTATCTTGGACAGATCCTTGCCGATGCAGTTCTTCATGATGCCCCACAGGCTGACGGGGTGGTTCGGCTTGTCCGGCACCCGCTCGCGCCGCTTCTTCATCAGCTCCGGGTTCCAGTTGCGTCCGTAGATGGAGTCGGTGCTCGCCTTCGCAGGCACAGCCTTGTCCACCTCGTCATCGTCGTCTCCCTGGCCACCGGAGGCCACTCGGGGTGCACTGACCAGGCACACCTGCTGCACTGTCTGCACGGTGCGCTTCTGCTCGTCGCTCTCCGAGGAGCTGCCCTCCAGCTGGCCCTCCACCTGATCCTCGCTGCTGCTGCGCCGCTTGTTCATTTTGAGGATAAAGGTGCCGCGCTCGCGATCCGGCGACTCTGCTCCCGAATAGCCGTGCTCTTCGGCATCGAAGAACTCCATTTCCTCATCGGAAGTCACCAGGGAACCGGGAACAGTGCCTCCTCCCGATCCTGAAGCCACCGCCTTGTTCTGGCGCACCATCACCGCCGCCTGCTCCATCTGCGACTGCTGCTTGGCCATCTGCTCCACCATGTCCTCCAGCCGCTGGCGCTGCTCGCGCTCGTGGTGCAGCATCTTGGACCACTTGTGGCCCTGGGCCTCCGCCGAGTGCAGGTAATCGTTGCCCGCATTGATCATGGCATTCGAGGTGATCCGGAAGAGGGTGGCCCGCTCGTTGACGATCTTTGTCCTGCTGGCCAGCGACTCCTCCTCGTTCGTCTCCAGATCGTTGAGTGCGCGCTGTAAAGCAGCTCCATGTTTGGTGATCAGATCGTAGCAGGTGCGCATGTTCTCCAGCCGATCGGTGAGATCCCTGACCACCGAGCTGATCTCCTGGCTGGGCACCACATGCGCCGTCTCCGTTTCCTCCTCCTCCTCGCTCTCGATGGCCCTGATGGCCTTGGCTTTGGCTAGCTCCAAGGCGGTGACCCAGGACTGCCGCTCCACCTCGGTGCCCGCCTTGATGTGGAACGTCTGGGTGCCGCCGTTCGAGATGACGAACGTGCACGAGTCCACCGTGTGGATGAGGGCTCCATGCAGCGAAATGGTGCCCCTGCACGTGTGGTTAATCTCCGTCTGGTTGCGGTAGTAGCTCAGCACGCCCTTGGACAAAACGAACCACCTGCGCTGGTAGCCCTTGATGTAGTTGGTCCACTTGAGCAGCCAGCCCTTCATCTCCGGCAGGCCCTTCTCGGCGGCATCCGTCATGGCTAAAGGCGCCTCCAGAACTCCAGATCCTCCAGAGACTTCGAGAATAGCGCCACGTACGATGACTGGCGGTGATTGGTCGCGGCGATTCCGCAACTCCGACTTGAAAATCGAACGAGGGGGAATTCGGTTATTGGACGGCTGGTTGCTGGCCAGTTGCTGGCATCGCTCGGGGGGCTCTTCGCCTCCGGATCACCAACGAGATTACGTTACGGTCGCGTAGCCGCGGCGCGTTCACTGCGAATTTCGTCGTCGATTTGGCTTCCAATTTTCCTGCTGCAGAAAATAAAGAAACTGTGGAAGTTGAGTGCGCGTCTGTGTGCGTGTGTGTCCCGTGTGTGTGTGTGTGCGGCGCCAGGGTTGCCAGGCGGTGGGCTGACTTATCGATTGCCTCCCATATCGATACTCTTCGGGATGAACCCTTATTCAACCGTTATTAGCTAAAACTTAAATAGGAAATTAAAAATCCTATTAATAAATCGAAATCCTATTAATAACAGTTTTAATATTGAAATAAAAATTTCATTTTAGACAGCTTAATTAATTTGAAAGCCATAAAAAGAGATTTTAAAAAACAGTGAAGTTACAGTGAAATAATATAGATTGTGAACGGAATTAATAGGTTATGATTTTTCTCAATCCTAAATAATAAAAAAATAACTAATCAATCCTAATAACAAAATATACCTTTAGATTTAATAACGCCTAAATGTTCTTAAAGTTTCCTTACGATTATTACTCATACGACATGTTGTCCCTAAATTCATACTACCATTTCTACCTTGGTCCATTTATAAATTTTATTTATGCATAATTGTTAAAAAACAAAACAAGTAAATTGAACAAAATATGTGTTGAAATGTACGCCCCCAGACAAAACAAATTTGTAATCAATTACGTATGAGTGATAAACTTTGAAACCAATGCGCCTATCCTAAATGGCTTAAATCATATGGGCTTGTGAAAATAAGTCCTTAAACATTTCCATACTCATATCTTAACACAAAAGAGATAAAATAAAAATGTAAAAAATATTTAATGTTTTCAGATCTGCTGCTTATGACGGTTGTTCAACCAATCAATTAAAAACGTATGTGTCCCAAAAGCTGACTCATTGCCAACAGTAAAACATATTGCGCTCTAAATTGGATTACACATTTTTATTTATAAATATGCGGTCTGATAAATAGCAAAAAATACAAGTGTTCAAGGTGGGAACTTTTGGGTTTGGGCTGTGGCTTCGGCAGTCAGTTGGTATGGGGCCGGATCACTTCTTGTACTCCGCCCAAGAGTAGCGGAAAGGAGCGGATCATGTGGATAAGGCTGCAAATACAAAGCTGGTAAAAACGAGGGGCAGTGGTTCTCTTCAAATGACACACAAGGACGGCACAGCACAGAGACAATCACCAGACGATGACGTATATACAATAAATCGTTTATTCGTAGGCAGTTCTTGCATAATATAAAATAAATATGTATACAGTTACAAGTAATTTAAAAGTACAAATACAGTTTCATTTCCATAGGTTGTTTTGTTTGCCCTCTCTTGTCATCTTAATAGTTCGATTCACACGTTGCAGACACAAGATATCTTTAGACAACAAGACAACAAACACAAGGCATGAGGGGATGGGGATGGGGATTTCGGATTGGGGTGTTTGATTGTTGGACAAAAAACACAAAATGGGCCAAAGCGGGTAGATATATAAATACGTAAAGCGGGTGAGAGATGGGTTATGGATTGCAAGTTGCAAGTGGCATGTGAATGTTGCAGGTTGCATTGGTTTTGTGATTAAGTGGCCTTTACATGGTGTTGTAGGCGGCGGTGTTGAAGCCCGTTTTGGGAGCACTTAGCCTGCTCAGCGGATGCGTCTTTCCATGCTGCGCCAGCCGCCGGATTTGCACCTGCTGCTGTTGTTCCGGTTGTTGCAGCTGCTGCTGTTGCATGTTGCTGGCGTGACTGAGGCGTACGGGCGCAGGAGGCGGACGACTCTCGCTATAATCATGCGTCGATCGGTTGGATAGCGAGCGGTCGTAGTGGGAGTGCGGGCGTTGCTTGAAGCTAGTGGTGCTGGTGGTGGTAATGGTGTTGCTGCAGGCGTGGCTCGTGTTGCTTCCGGCGGTTGGCAGTGGGGCACAGGCGACTGTCTGCGTGGCCGCCGCCTGGCTACTGCAGGAAGTAGTGGTTTGATATTTATGCACTAGACCTTTTACATTACGATCACAATTTTCGCTTACGCTGGAATCGGACGAGTTGGAGGCGGAGGAGTTGGAGTTGCAGTTCGAGGCATGCTGCGCCACCGGCGACGAAGGCAGTGATTGGTGGCTGGTCGTCTTCTTGCCGGGATTCGCTGGCACCACCGTCGCCGTTGAACTACTGACCGCTACTCCTCCTGCTCCTCCTCCTCCTGCGCCCGCCACTTTGGCTTCAAAATTCTGCTTGAGTATTTGCACATTGCCCGAAATGCGCTGATCCTCGGCCAGCGTTTGGCCCGGAACGCGCAGCACTACCTCCTGTTCACCGGGCGTGGTGGTGTTCTTGTTCTCAATGTCGCTGGTGTGCATCAGCTCCTCGCTGTTGCAGCGCAGCGGCTGTCGCTGCCGTGGACTGTGCGCCGACGAGGCGCTCCTGTAGAGACTCGGGCAACGCCTTTGCCCCGCATCCACTGTCTCGAGCAGCAGCTCCTGGCTGCTGCTGTCCTCCTGGCAGCGCTTCTTCAGCGAGGTACTCTCCTCCAGCTTCTGCTTGGTGCGCTTCACAGTGCCCTCGTTAGCTCCCACGGCCTGTTCCACTGATCCTTCCATCGCATTGCAATTGCCACTGCGCTTGAGGTCCTGAATGACGCCCTCGAAGATGGCCGTGGTGTTGCGGTTGCTGTCGTAGTAGGAACCCGAACTAATTCGCGGCGGCAGGCTGCTGCGGTTGTCGCCCGATCCCCAGCTGGCGTGCCGCGAAGGAGGCTCCCTTTGCCGAGTGCCCCGAGGACGCAGCGGAATAGCACTCGATTGCTGTGGCTTGGGATCCAGCACGATGCCGCCACTGGGGCCAAATGACTCAGTCCAGGAGTGCGTCTTGCGTCGCTGCCGCTTCTCGCCCTCCTCCTTGGCGAAAACACTGTCCACCTGCGAGGAGAACACATCCGATGAGCTGGAATCCCTGCGCGGTTGACCTCCCAGGTGGGAAGTCTGCGTGATCAGCTTGGTCAGCGATGTCCACACGGGCTGCTGCGCCTCGAGATCGTGAATCCGCGTGCGCACCGACAGAGGCGTGTGCTTCTGGATGTGCAGCACCTGGTTCTGGGTGACGCTGTAGTTCTCGCCGTTGCTGCCCGGGAAGCGCATGTTCTTGGGCTCCTCGGCCACGCTGCGCTCCGGCGTGAGGTTCTCCATGGACTGGCTCTGCTGCTTGGTCACGACAGCCGTCTGTGTCTTGGGCGAAGTGCTGCTGGAGCGCCGAACCATTCGTCGCTGCGACTTCTGGCCGCTGGAGCGGCGATGCAGGCGATCCTCCTCGCCATCTGGCGTGACTTCCGCCTCGCCAGTGGACTTGGACTTGGCCTGGTTGAGCGCCTGAATGAGGGGAGTGGGCTCGCTGCCCGGCAACAGCCGCGCATCCTTTGTGCTCTTCAAGTTCGTCTCGCTCTTGCTGCGCTGCAGCTTCTCCTTGTTCTTCATGGCGTCCAGCATGCCGCTGTACGTCTCCAGCTGGTTGAGAAAGTTCTTGTTCGGCTTGATGCAGCTGCGCTGCTTCTTCACGTGCTCCAGCGCCTGCTGGAACTCCCACTGGTAGGCCTTCATGGCGTACGCGATGACCACCGAGGCGGACCGGCTGACGCCCATCTTGCAGTGCACCAGCACCTTGGAGCCCTCGGCCTTCGCGCGCGAGATGTAGCGGAAGGTGTCGTCCCAGTACTTCAGCAGGTTCGTCTTCTCGTCGTCGTACACGCGCACATTGAAGTACTCAAAGGTGCCGGGAAAGAAGTTGTCTATCTCCCGTGTGACATTCAGGATGTGACGAACGCTGAAAATGAAAACAGAAGGGGTATTTTATAGTCTATATTATATTCTCACTAGAGCCCTGCGTGAATCATTCAATTTTTGTTTCATTATAGTATGCCATGAAATTTCTGATTTGTTTAATTCAATTCTATGTGAAATAAATTGAATGTTTTTCGAATTAATTTCGAATTGAATGAAGGAATAAATGAATAATTTTTATGAATTTTCCAGATTTTTTTTGTGCTTTTTTTTGAGAAACAAATCAATGTTAACTGCTTAGTAAATAAAATTCATGCAGATTTAATCACAAAGTTATGGCCCTTTCTTCTTCAAAAGAAATTGTCGTTTGAATTACTTCGGAATTCATGCCATTCATTCATTCAATTCTATTAAACTTAAAATTCAAATTCATTCAATTCTATTAAACTCAAAATTCTAATTAATTCATTCATATAAAGCAAAAAATTGAAAATAATTCATTGAATCCATTCATGCAGGGCTCTAAATTCTCATACATTACCCATTTTTCTGCAGCTCCTCGAGGTTGCTGGCGTTCCACTCGGAGCCCAAATAGACGTGCTCGAATATCTTTGTGGGGGCATCCATTTGACCCAGGATCACGAGCATTTCGGCGTCAATAAAGGACTTGTACTCGCCCAAATCCATGTCCAGGATCTCCTCGAGACGCCCGCGTATGTACTTGGAGGTGACCTCGTCCAGATCCACCGACATCATGATGGCCTTCAGCTTCATCTTAATGACACTTTCGGTTTCCTCCTTTTCGGGGGGTCTATTTCCAAGGATTATAGCATATTAAACAATAGAAGCTTAAGCAAATCAAAGGCATACTTGTTTCGTATGGCATCAGGCGAAGGTGGTCGGCGGCTCTCGATCGAGTCCATGGCATTCCACTCGTTCAGGCAGGATTGGTCCGATTCGATGCGCCTCTCGTAGCTGGATAGCCAGTCGTGGGAGGGTCCGCTGGCATAGAAGTTGTTCTCACGAGCCTTCTTCGACACTTTGTGCAGCGTCTGCAGCGCGGACCTGTGAAGGAGTAGGAGGTTTATGGATCTGGAAAGATTTAGATCCTTGTAAAACCACTTACCACATGGCCTGCACTGAGACCGGCTTGAAGATGTGCGTCTTTTCGTAAACTTTGACGCTGAAGCCACTGGAAAAATAGACAAGGAAAGTGAGTTAGAGATGATCGAAGTTATTATAGAATAAATTAATTTTAAGTTATTTATTTATTTAAATAAAGCAAACTTAAAGTTAAAACTATAAGCTAACTAAGATTAAGAGGTGTCGAATTTGATACATTTTTATTTTTATAATTGTCAATTTCGATTTTGAGCTTAATTTGGGCTTTTTCAAGGTGTCGAATTGGATATTCTTATTTTTAGATTTTTTTTTTTATTTTTTTTTTGGGTTTTTTAAGGTGTCGAATTAGATACATTTGTATTTATTATTTGAATTTAGATTTTGAGTTTAATTTGGGCTTTTTTAAGAAATGAGATGGTTTTAATGACGTTGTAAAAGTTAAAAAATGTTTATAAATAATTTTTCTTGATAAATTATATTAATTATTTTAAAATGATCAATTTTAGACAAATAGGAAGTCCCAAATTATACGTATATTTTACGACACCTATTAATTAGGCAATTGGTCAAGGCCACAGCGATTAGCGTAAAGATTAGAGAAGGAAAACATTCTTGTTTTGGTCTATATATACATTTATCTATAGGTATATGTACTCCAAGGTTATTTATTTCTTGGAACAATCTATATTACGTGAGCGGTCTTACCCATCGCCATCCAAATGGATTGTGGTGTCCGCCAGGATGGGCACCACCAGGCCCAGGGTGGTCCGCTCGTTGCAGTCGATGCCCAGCAGGCAGGACTCCTCCATGCCCGAGGTATTCTTGTTGTCGCCGGCCGCCGTTGCGTTCTCCTTGTCCGCTGATCTATCACATTTGCTGCTGGCCTCGGTGGCGGTCTGCTCGACGGACAGCTGACGCTGCGTGGTGACCGTTGCCGTGGAGGACGCTGTGCTGCCCGCCGATCCACCGACCTTGGCCGAATTGTGACGGATGATCCGGTGGCGCCGTCGCTCGCTGGTGGCGCTTCTACAGCAGCTACGCGAGGCAATCACCAGGTAGCGAGTGCGGTTGGACCGCTGCGACTCCAGTTTGACAGCCTTTTTGGGTAGGGATATAGGATGTTATTTAGATAAAGTAATTATAGGTGATTTACCCACCATCTTGAGCGTGTCCTCGCGCTGCAGCAGGTAGAACATGGACTGCAGATGGAGCTGGATGTCCGAGTTGTTGCTCTGCGTGCTGTTGCTCGAGCGGGTGGAGTCGGTGCTCAGGCGGCGCTCGCTTTGCTGCTGGGGCGGGATGTCCTTGAGGGCGAGGACCAAAGCGGTCCCCTTGCCGGCAAAGAAGCACTCGCTGCGATCGTTGCCCTTGCTATTACCCTCGTCGTCCTCGGCCTCGCCATCCTGTGGGTTTAAAATAGGAAATTAGCATTAATTTTTATTAGGTCTTAGGTAATTTTAATCCTGATATGCTCCTCACCCAGCGAGGTATGCCAACTATATAGTCATAGGGCCAAGAACATGCTAAAAGGCTGAATTCTAATTTTGCAAAGGGCTGAGAATTTTGCTTGATCATTCTAGAGGCGCAGTTCTACGTTTTGGAAAATAAAAACAAAATAAAACAATTGTTTTCGGGGATTTAAAATGACATGTTTTGCATATCATCAGTAAAATAAAATTGATCTTGGGCCGAGATATATGAATTTTTCCCTCTGTGCAGGCGGACGTCAAGGTCTCGCGAACTATTTTTGGGCGGTGGGGCGGCGAAGAAAACAAAAACAAGCGGTAAGAGACAAAAACGACAAATAAGGCAATGCAAAAGTGTGTTGAAAAATATAGACGTCGCGACGTCTGCGGATTTGCTTGGGTTACACCGAAAGCAGCGCTGCCGCGATGATGACGACGATGGCCGCCCACACACGCGAAAGCCAAGCCAAAAAATAAATAATAATAAAAAGAAATAAAGCAACAAGCTGGCGGATAAACGATGATAAACACTGGCAAGGCACACAAAGGATCATGGCCAAAAGCGGAACACGCATGAAAATAAGAGTCGCCCTCCTTAATTGGCTCTCTCTCTCTCTCTTTGTGGAGAGATGGAAAGATTGGGAGATTGGCTGAGGGGTGACCAAAACAAAGCACACACCACAAACACACGCACACGCGAGAGCCACTCTCACCGAATTCGAGCAGGAGCCAGCCACACTGGGAGAGCGCTGCACCGTCACCAGCGCCATTTGTTGTTGCCACCGCCGCCGCTCCTCCTCCTCAGCCTGCTCCTCCCCCGCCGACGCCTCTTGCTCCACCTGGCGGAGATGGCGATAATGATGCAGCGGTGTGTCCTTTGTAATCCTCTCCTGCTTCTGCTTCCGCTCCTTCTTCCTCTTCCTCCTCTTCGCCTCCTTGTCTGTGTGTGTGTGTGTGCAAGTGTTGTGGGCTAGGGCTACAAATGCATTTTCATGTCGCTGCTTCTGCCTGCTGGCCGTTGTTTTTGCACTCGGCTCCGCAGCCTCCTCCTCGCTCGATCCGCTTGACCTCCGCTTCCTGGACACTCTGCCCAGTCGGTTCTCTCTAAGAAACAGCGTGTCCTCACAATTGACAGACACACACAACGCAGCTAAATGGTAAATAGACTACACGAATTTTTCTTAAAAGAAAGACAGTGAGGACGCCATTTCTAATCGATAACACTAGTATCGCCAGGCAATCGTTCTGGCAGGGCTGCAGCAACTATCGGCGGCGAAAGCGATGTATCGAATGGTGCACTGAAAGAAAAGTTCTAAGCAAAATCTTAATATTTACCCTATTTTATGTCCTGGTGAAAGGAAGAACGTGTAATTTTTAAACGAATTCAAATTTAAAATAATTTTTTTAGATGTTAATAGAGGACAGTAACAAATGGTAGATGGTTTAAAATTATAAATGAAATCGTAAATTTATTTTTTTTCTTTTATATCCTTGATTGGTTGTATACCCAAAAACAAATAAAATGTAAACAAACTATAAAAGCATTAAATAATAACAAATAAAATAAACTAAGGCAATCGGTGCAATCAAAGTTATCGAATGTAATATCAGTGTTGACAGCACAGCTGAGCAGTGCTGGAAAACAACTAGAAATCGAACAGATGATTGCGAAAATCAGCTGGCCAAACAACAACATAACAGGCGCAGGCTTCAGGTGGATTGGAATTTGCAAAACTCGCATAAAACCCAGGAAAATGTCGGCTTTCATTGAGGAAACCAAGAGCCTGCTGCCGCGCATCGCCTTCATAGCCTGCGGCTGCTTCAGTCCGCCCACGCCCATGCACCTGCGGATGTTCGGTGAGTCAAGCGAGTGGATGGTGAAATTCCCCCGGTACATAATCGATATGATTACGCCGCATGTTTTGGTTTTTTCCCTTCACAGAAATAGCCAAGGACCACTTCGAGATGCAGGGAACCCACCGGGTGGTCGGCGGCATCATCTCACCCACCCACGATTCGTATGGAAAGAAGGGTCTGGCCTCCGCCCTGGATCGCTGTGCCATGGTCAAGCTGGCCACGCAGAGCTCCAATTGGATCCGTCTGTCCGACTGGGAGGTTCATCAGAACCAGTGGATGCGCACGCAGGCGGTGCTGCAGCACCACCAGAACTACATCAATAACCACATCAATTCCGGTGGCTCCGGAGGAGATGATGAGCCGGACACTCACCTGGCCAGGTGGCTGCCACGCGGCCTCCACGACAGCCGGGATCCGGTGCACCTGAAGCTCCTGTGCGGCGCCGATCTGCTGGAGTCCTTTGCCGTTCCAGGCCTGTGGGCGGAAGCCGATGTAAATCTTAATTTTCATTAGAAGTTCTTAATTAACTGTGTTCCTCCGCAGATTGAAGACATTGTGGCCAACCATGGCCTGGTGGTCATCACCCGCGCCGGCTCCAATCCGGGCAAATTCATCTTTGACTCCGACATATTGACCAAGTATCAGGTTAGGCCGTTTCTTTGCCTTAGAAGCTCATTCCTTACTAACTTTCCTCAATCTTTTAGAACAACATAACACTGATCACCAACTGGGTGCCCAATGAGGTCAGCTCCACGTTGATTCGGCGACTTTTGGGACGCGGTCAGTCGGTCAAGTACCTTCTGGACGACCTGGTGCTGGAGTACATCAAGCGCCAGCGTTTGTTTAACTTTAAATCGTAGGTGGACTTCCTAATACCTCTCCCTAAAAATCTCCCCGCATGCCCACTCACAAAGCACCCAACTTTCAAACGATACGTACACTGAACCATTTCACACATAGCAGCAGATCACACTTAACGTGCACCAGCTCTTTGTATTGTCTCCTTTTTGTGTCTCAAACTGCAGGCAGGATGCACCGGCTCCGCCCGAATGCGACTCCTGACGCGTTTTGCACCCGAAAGAAGAGAAGCCCTCGTCGCCCACCCGCTGCCCAAGCCACCAGCACCGCCATTTGCACCTCTTCATGGAGCGTGAGTGAGCCAGAGCAGATCAGAGTTCAAGTTCCTATTTAGCGCTGATTCCACTTAATGCATGCTTTTAAATACCTTGGCCCTTGTAAATTAGTCCCTTTTTAAGATTAGTTACCGATTATATTCCGGTGGTCAGTGTGCGTATCATCTAGTTACACCGAACTGTTTGCCAAAATGTAGTCCCATTAAACAATAACCTTAACTTTGTTGCTATTGTACTGACCATGCCCGCCTAACCTGTGGATTGTAGTAAGTATATAACGGATGCAGTGCGTCCCAACCATTTGCTCTTTAACCACGCCTACACGGACAACAACAAGAACGCGAGCAGCTATTCTTTAAACGACCAGTTGGAGCAGGACATGGATGAGTCGGACACGCCCAGCCCGCAACTCCAAAAGACGGCCACATCGCGAGTCTTTTGCTGTGGAGAAACTACCTTAAGAGGATCTACGAAGCTACTGCGATCCGGTCCTGGACAAGCGGTGCAGGTCATCACCATGCAGGCGGATGAGAAAGAGGAGGTGGGTATTGTTCTCAGTAGAGCCTTGCGTGAATCATTTAATTTTTGTTGTATCATGGTATGCCATTAAATTTCTAAATTCTTTAATTCAATTCTATGTGAAATAAATTGAATGTTTTTCTAATTCACTTCGAACTGAATGAATGAATAAAAAATTATATTGAATTTTTTGAATTTGCCTGATTTTTTTTGTGCTTCCGTTTGAAAACAAAAAGTGGCCAATTTTTAACAAATCAATGTTAACTGCTTAGAAAGTAAAATTCATGCAGATTTAATCACAAAATGATGGCCCTTTTTCAAAACAAATTGTCGTTTGAATTACTTCGGAATTCATGCCATTCATTCATTTAATTCTATTAAATTTAAAATTCTAATTAATTCATTCATATAAAACAAAAATTCAAAATAATTCATTGAATCCATGCATGCAGGGCTCTAGTGCTCAGCTGAGATGATAGTAGTATCTAATAGATTTTCTCCTTTTCCAGAGTCAAGCGAAGAAGCAGAAGGTTTCCCAAGTGCAAGTTTAGGAAGCTCGAAGACGAATCTCACACGGATCGATACAGGAGCGCTGGAAGCTATTTGTTGATACTATGTAAATGTGCATGTAAAATAAACACGTTCGTTAACCCGATTCTGTGGGTCACTTCAGGAGGAGCGGAGCGGAGGGACAAGGCATTGAACTTCAGCAGTCAGCAGTTGCAGGGCTTCCCTTTCGGTGTCCGGTGTCAGAACTTGTTGAAGAGTGGCCACCATTAGTTCTAGCTTAGAGGGACTGCAGTTGCTCGTTTCCCTTGGAAGAGTTCACATCGCGAATGTTCTTCTTCCGTCGCCAGAATGCCAAGCCCGCGCCACGCCCCTCGCGCGCCCCATCCTTTGCGCTCCCGAAGCGGCGGCCTCCTGTCCAGCTGACGCCCTCGCATCAGCACGACCAGCTGCCCTTCCTGCGGAGATCCCGGTTCAGTGCCCTGCCCCATTTTCGGGCCTACGAGGATGAGCCGGAGAACCTGTCGCTCTTCATTGCCATCCTGTATGTGGTGGATCTGTTCGGCATCTTCCCGTTCGTCACGCTGCCCGCTCTTCTCGTGAAACTGGGCTACTTTGGCATTCTGCTGGTGCTGTCCATCATCTTCCTGCAGATCTACACCTCCTTTTTGTTGGCCCAGTGCTGGACGATGGCCGAGCTGCTCGATCCCTCCATTCAGCAGAAGCGCAACTATCCGTACGCCGCTCTGGCGGAGCTCGCCTACGGTCCCTACATGAGTGTGGTGGTCTCCGTGCTCCTCGATCTTAGTATTTTTTCCATGGCCGTGCCCAGTGTGGTGATGGCCGCCCAGAACTTGGAGGGCGTCGTGCTGCGCATGAGCGCCGGTCAATACAATTTCTCCTACTGCTACTGGGCCATCATCGTGGGCTTGGTCATCTGCCCACTCATGTGGCTGGGCAGTCCAAAGCATATGCGGTAAGATGGAATTTCAGATGGGGGTTCCCCAGAAACCACATTAGATGAAACAAGTAGGAAAACGAAAGACAAACAAAGACTTAAGACTTAAATATTATTCAGAAAGGTGTTTCAAGACCAATAGGATTCAAAATAAATCGCTAGGAACATAAAAATGTTCCATATTTTCTTTAAAACTGAATTTATTTATCTTATAAAGATTGGTACACAAAAAAAAAAAACATGTCGCCGTAAAATCGATATGTGCATGTTAATGTCTGGCTATGAAATACACCGTTTTACATGAAATACTCATTTCGACTATATCAATTTTACCTGTCCCCATAAAAAAGCTAAAATTTATATTACACTAATTTGTACCCCTTACGCGGCTCCTAATTATTTTAGTAAATAATGTGATTTTTTTTTAGGTTTTTATGTCAATCCGTTCTGGGTGGAATTTGCTACTGACCGTTTTTTAGGGGTCGAACTTTATATTAGTTTAGATAATGTAAATATATCCACGTTTCATATCGATTATTTTTTTGGGTGTTTGACATATGCTCTTTATTGAATAAATATAGTTTATTCAATTCTATACTTATGCTATATTATTTATTATATCTTAAATATCCCAGGAGTCTGGCTATCACAGCTGTTTGTGTAATGATAGTAATTGTGGCGCTGCTGTGGTTCTGCCTGTTTGCAGCTCCTGCGATTGGAACTCCATTCGAGGGGATCTCCATGGGTGGGTACTTTAAATATGTGATATTTTTTAGGAACTTCCCTATCTGTTTACCCTAGAATTGCCTGGTTTTTTAACCGTGCTCAACAGCTATAGCATACTGGCCTTCCAGTTTGACATTCATCCGGTTCTGTTGACACTTCAAATCGACATGAAGCACAAGTCGCAGGTTTCCTGGGCTGCTCTTATAGGAATTGCCAGTGAGTTACTGAAATTAGCCAATTCCAAAGGGATAATAATCTAAGTTCGATGGATTAGTAACTTGCAGCGTAGCCATCTTTGGGTCCATAATCGCCGCCTACAAATTTGGATCGATGATAGCGGATAATCTGCTGCAGTCCCTGCCCACCAGTGTGCCCTTCTACGTTATGCTGATCCTAATGGCCCTACAGCTCTGCTTCTCCGTCACGGTGGCCAGCTCGGCCATGTTCCTGCAGATCGAAAACTACTTCAAGTTGCCAGAGTGTAAGTTTAAATATTTTTTAATTTACCAGAAAAAAAATGTAGGAAAAACTGCTGCTTCTAAAAAATATCTACCTTACAAATGTTACAAATATTAAGAACTGATAAGTTGGAAATAATCATTATTTTAAGGATTAAACTATTTTTAAAAATATTATATAAATTAAACTGTTTGTTTCCTAATGAAATCTTTACTATTTCGTGAACTTTAATGATCACTAGATCTTTCATTCCACTAAAACCGAAACTTAATGAGTTCCGTCATAACGTTTGTGGCTACATTAATCTAAGTCAACGTTAGGTTTTAAGTAAGACATCTTATAATCCTAAAATGTATCTTCTTATTTAGCCCTGTCCTTCAAACGCATGATGATCCGATCCTCGGTGCTGGCCTTGGAGGTCCTTGTGGCGGAGTTTGTGCCCAGTTTCGATGCCCTGATGGATGTGGTGGGTGGCACAATAACCGGCCCACTGGTCTTTATACTTCCCCCGCTCCTCTACCGACGCATCCGGCGGATGGAGCGTGTGCATCAGCGGATTGCGGCGGAGGCCAGCTATGGCAGCCTGCCGCTGGACCTCAACTACGATCCTGTGGACCTGGAGATGGAACCGCTGCTGGTCACGAGTCCACCGATTTCGCCACGTGGCTGCTGGCTGAGAATGGTTCGGTTCCTGCACCGCCTCGAGTGCGACGTCTCCTGCACCATGGCGGTGCTCATCTTTGGATTGCTGGCCACCTTCTTATCCACCTACCTGAACATCTTCAGCCTGGCCAATCTGTTCAGCAATAATTCACCCTGCCTCAGCAATCTCACCAAGCACTTTTGATGATTTGAAAATATTAAAACTCTGCCCAGTTTGATTGCCCCGTCCTTCGGCGGGTTCAAGAAACCCACGTCTCTTTAATGCAATGCTAAAAGGTGTTTTGTATAACACCAACTACAAATTTAAAATTTAATAAATCCATTATATTACACCAAGACACGCACGATGTTTTTGAGTGTTTCTCGAGTGGTTGTTTAATTAGTTAAGCTTTATTAAAACATCGCCAGAGCCAAACTATTTGTCCGGGAATTGCACACGCGCATCATTTATCATCTTTTTCGGTTGCCCGCGTAAATGTTTGCCTTTTTGTTTGCCAAAATTATTTAACCATTCGGTACGCGCCTCGTATTTGTTGTTTGTTTATTGTTATTTTTGTTGCCTTGCTTTTGTTTTCGGTTTAGTAATTTGAGACAAGTTGAGAACGATGAGCTTCTCCCGGTGGAAAGTAAACAGGCTGATAACACCTTTCGCAGCCCTCTTTAGTAGCTTTTGTATCTGTGTATCTATGTATCTTTGTATCTGTATTCTATATATATATCTAGGCAGAAATGCCGGAGCAGCTTAGCTCAGGGTTTAAATTTAAACACAAGAAGTTACGGAGATTCTTCTTGGAGATTCTTCTCGGCTGATACGCAAATTTAATTTATTCTTTGGCATCTGCTCACCGCCATGCATGGCATGGATTTTTTTTGTTTATGTTTTTTTCTATTTGCGTATTTCTATCTAATATACGTAATACGAAGGCATATGATTTTTTCCCAGCATTCATTTCCGTCTTTCATAATACGTTTTTAAGCGCGTTCCATGTTCCATTCGGTCGGGAGATGACTCAAGGCATTGTGTTGATAACCTCCCCGAGTCATCGAGTCATAGAGCCATCTACCCATCTATCTACCCATCCAATGCAAAAACCGCACACAACTCGAATTATTATTTATTTTTTCCATTCTCGGTGGCGAGTGATTATTTATTAAAATTAATACCCAATTGTTTGATAGGAACTGTGTACGGAACCGAACGGAACGGAACCCCATACAATCCGTTGTCGCGTCATCAGTCTGTGGCGAGTGGCCACCTGTGGCTGTGCCCCAAGATTGGGATGCTTTTATTGGCTCGTTATTTTCAGTTGGCTCTTTGATTTTAATGGCCACGGCCCAAAGGTACGCACTCAGCTATTCGCCCTTTTAATTGCGACGAACTTAGGGTTTACTACCTTTTGGGGTTTTTTCTTTTTTCTCCTTAACTTTTTTAGCCCAACTTGTTTATGCCCAGCCGTTTTTATCTTTTGTTTGCCACATTTCAATATGCAGAAGGTCTCGTTTGGCACGAACTCTGTGTTCCGCAGATGATTCACCGGAGGCTAGAGGCTAATACTACGTACTAAGTACCAAGAGCACTTGCCGTACCACTCGGACATGGATCACTAGCCGTGGAGTTGCCAAGTGCAGCATAAGTCGTGCTAATTGATTATATCGCTGGGCCATTGACAAGCGTTTAGGTAGTTTATGGATTTATTTATTTTGTCTCCATTAACAAATTACACAAACATGCATAATTAATAGTTATTAAAATTGCTATTGCTCACCCGGGCCACACAAATTGAATTTTTAACATTTTTTGAAGATCTATGGGATGTTTAACTATCTACTAATTAACTAGGCATTTTTATTTGATAGATTTTATATCCGTTTAGAACTCTTAATTACCAAAAGGATGTACTTTTGTAACCATTAAAAATTATTATTTCAATGAAACAAAGATATAAAAAAAAAATAATTAAAAGATTAAAAAATGCTAATATCCTTTTATATAAAGCTAGAGTCCAAAAATATTTTTAATGATATTATGATAAGAATATTCATAACTTTAGGGACTTTTTAGGGTTATCCATGATCATCATTTTGACATTTTCCCCTACTTTCTCAGATCCCCAGACAATTCTCGGCTGATTAAATAGCTATTGAGTGTTCGACAGAGTGTCGCCTTTTCTACTTCAAATCAAGTTTCGATGGGGAGTTCCAAGAGCCCCGTTGCCAATTTGGCTTGGGGCTTGAGGCATGGGGCTCATTCGACGGCTGTCAAAAACTGATTATACGGTGGCAATTTTCAAGTGGCCGGCACAAAGGCTTAACCCAGAATTTAATGATATTTAAATTGCAAG